TGAGTGGGTGGTCAGTTCCCCCTCCCTTGCTGTCCTAACCATTCCCCTGGTTATCAGGTGACAGCTGTTGCGTGTCAGGTGGCCCTGCTCTGTCAGGTGGGATTAGGGCAACATTTATCTATGTAATTCTGGACCCCATAAAAGAAATAAAATAGGTATAAATTTGCTGAGCTTATTTTATTGAATATGATGATTTCCTTCTTTATCCATTTTCCAGAAAACAACGTAATTTTATTTTTATAACTGAATAAAATCATATTGTGTGTATGTCATATTTTTATTATCCATTCATTTTTTTGTGAATAAGATGTTTTTTCTTGGTTTCATTCTCTTTAAGTTCATTATTAGTATTTAGAAAGTTATTGGTATTTTTCATGTTCATATAGCACCCTAATACTCTGCTGAAAGTGTTTGTCAATTAAAAAGTTTTATAGTAGAAGTGTTAGAGTATCTGATGTATAGGATCATATCATCTGTAGACAAAACATGGATTCCTTTCTTTCATTTTTGTACACCTTATTAAAGTGTTGTCCTGTGCAAATGCATTCAAGGCTACTTCCTAATTTCTATCAAGTTTAGTGTAACTGGATTTATGTTGAGGTTTTTTTGATCTACTTGGACTTGAGTTTTGTGCATGGCAATATATGTGGATCTCTTTGCAATCTTCTACATGCCAACATTAAGAGTTTGTAATTGACCTCTCCTATTTATATTTCTTCAGTTGAATTTCCTAAAAAACCTATCTTATATCCTAAATGATTAATACAATCTCATCCTTGCAGTTTTTCAGGAGCAATTTGTAATTTCAAAAGGGAAAAATTCTCTTTACTTCATCAAACATTTTTTAAGGTATATGCATCTGAATCAACCAATAAAGTATTATCCATGTAATGGTAAATTATATTGATAAACAGTAAATGGTTTACAAATTATTTGAAATGGATCTTGTATAAAATATTGACACAAGGTGAGGCAGTTTAGCACTCCTTGAGGAAGAATTTTCCAATGATACCTCTTAATAGGCTGGGAATGAGTATAAATAGGTACTATGAGGCAAATATTTTCTCTATCCTGTTCTTGTAAAGGTATAGCAAAAAGCAGTCTTTTAAATCAATCCTATAATATACCATCCTTTAGGTAATAAAGAAGGCAAGGGCATTCCAGGCTGCAAAGAGTCAATTGGCTGAATTACCTTATTTATATCTCTCAGTTCTATTACTATTCTCAATTTTCCAGATTTCTTTTTAATAATAAATATAGAAGAATTAAAAGGACTGGTTGATTCTTCAATATGTTGATCATTTAGCTGCCCTTATACCAACTGTTTTAGTGCCTATAATTTTTCTGATGTCAGAGGCCATTGGTCCACCCACACAGGATTGTCAGTTAACCATTTTAAAGGTAAGACTGTTGGTACCTTTGGAAGACCAATAGCTGTTGTGTCCTGCTTATGTACAACCTTAACAGTGTGTGATTGTTCCTGATAATATCTTTTAATATTTATCTCAGAAGCATTCTCTATGTTTTGTTTCTGAAATTTGAGGAATGTTAATCTGTTTCTTCCATTGCTGCAACAAATCATATCCCCATAAGTGCATTGATATGTTAGACACATATAGCTTTAATTTTTCTATCTGTCCTTCTGGTTCTCTATACTTGAACCAACTTGTATTTTGTTTTACCTAAGATATGTAGCCAGAAGTTTCTCTGGTCCTGCCTGGCCCTGCAGTTGGGACAAATCTCTCCCACCTGTGTCCACAGCTACTCAGTCTCAAGTAAACAAACAGAGGCTTATATTGTCTACAAACTGTATGGCTTATTGATCAGGAATTGTGTTAGCTAACTCTTATAACTTAACTCAACCCATTTCTATTAATCTATATGACCATGGTCTTATGGCATCTTGTTGCTCCTTGAGCAGCAGGCTGGGTCTCCCCACTCTCCTTTCTTCTCCTCTCTCTCCAGATTGAATGTACCGCCTAACCTTATTCTGCCTTGCCATTGGCCAAACAGCTTTATTTATCAACCAATCAGAGCAACACATGTTCATAGTGTACAGAAAGAAAGCAGAGATAAAGTTTCAATCCCTAAAAGCTGAATAGTTACCTCCTGAAGAGGCCAATCTGGATGCCAGGTTTAGTAGAAGTATTGTTACATTTACACCTATGTCCAGTAATCCTTCAATTACAATGCCATATATTTGAATTTTTGGCTTTGTTCTTTGATATTTTATAGCAGTTTGCCAAAATACTTGTTTTTTGATCTCTCCTGAATTTTTTGTTTTATCTACTGAATCTATTCTGCCCTTGATCACATCCAGAACAGTGCTGTTCTTAACAACAGGCATTAAATCTTTTAATTGACTTGCAGATGAGTTTCTCTCATGCTGACAGGCAATAGTAGAACCAAATTTGATATTGGAATCTGCAAAAGGATGCCTAAGGCATTTTCCAACGGCAAAAGTTGCCTTGCTTATCCTTTGTTGATCTCCATTCATTAGTCTAATGTTGGTCTTTGTCACACCTTCTGCATACTCCAGAAGGTTAGGCTTTGTTTGGATTATCTCTAGAAAAGAACATTATTTCTAGGAATGCCTGGCCAACAATCTCTTTTCAAATGACCTTATTTGCCACAATTAAAACATCTGATATTTTAATTTTTCTTAAATTTTTTAGAAATTACTCCTCCTTTCAAAGTAGCATCATAAACATGATATGCAATATAAGCCATATTTCTAACCCATTCATCTATTGTTGTTGATCTTCCCTTTAAAGGCCTAGTCACCCTTTTTCATTCAGAATTAGCATTTTCAGAAGCCAAAGATTCAATTAATATTTATCTGACCTCTAGATCTTATACTATTCTATTTACAGTTGAAGTCAATCTTTTCGAAAAATCAGTGAAGGCTTCTTGTTTGGCCTGGTATAATTTTAGTAAATGTCTCAGACCTCTTCTCTGATTCTTCAACCTTGTCCCAACCATTTAAAGCTGCTAAACAACATAGTGCCAAGGTATGATCTTAAAATCAATCTGCCTTTGCAATTTAGCATATTGACCCTTATCTAGTAACCAATCTTGGGAAATATCAGTATTCCTAGCCTTATTTTGCTGTTCTATGACTCTAGCTTATTTTTCCACCATGTTCACAATTGTAACTGAAGACTAGCTTCCAATATTGTTGTGACCAAATCTTTCCCGTCTTGGGGGATAATTCTGTTCTGAATTGCCCGTAAATTTAACATGTGATTCACATGAGGTGAATGCATATAAAATGACCACTTGCTTAAATATTATAATATCTAAAATTTCTATAGGATTCCGTTTAACTTCTATATAATCTTAGGGGTGCCTATTGTCTGTTCATTGTTCTCGTATAGTAACTGTATAAACTAAGGTTGGTTTTCTAATAACCTTGGGCAGCCCCTACATATTCATCATGCAGTGGTATGGTAGGTTCTTTTCTAAATCCCTCTGTCTTTGTCTGAGTATTTTTCTTATTTTCATTAGTATGACTTTCTAAGGCTTGTATATTATCAGTCAAATTTTTCTTATTTTTCATTGACATGTCTTTCTAAAGCTTGTATGTTATTATTCAACTTTTCATATTTGGCACAATTACCAGACCACTCTTTATTTGGCATAAGAAACCACTATGAATATTATGAATGAAATATGAATTACCAGACTGATAATACTTACAATCAGTATTATGTAAATCTCAGCTAAGTCATTTATCCCCTTACTTACTGTTTCCATTTTCAAGCCATCAATAGTTGCACTATACAGGGTCCTAACTCCTGCATTATGATGTTTCACATCCTTAGCATAGGAAAGATTTTTTAAAAATATTATTTAACTCCATCTTAATGGACTTTCTAGGTCTCTCAGTTTGTCCATATCGGACCATCAGCAAACTCAGGCCTGTTCCATGATTTCTAAGCATGAAGCTGCTTTCTGGAATACCTAATAGTGACAGCAGAGGCATCAGATTGAGTAACTTCCTTTTGTGTGGTCGTGCCACATGTTGGAGTGCCAAATATTGTTCTTCTGCTGGCACTGTGGCTGCACCTGAACCAAATGCTGTTTCAGCCAGTTACAGAGGCTCTGCAGTTCCTGATCTGCTTCTCTGGCAGCAGCCTAGAAGGACTTTTATGATCACTGTATCCATATCCTGCTGCTGCCACCAAAAGTAGTTTTTAGCTAAATCTCTATTGCTTTATTTACCAACACAGACTCAGGAGTCAGTGGCTGTGGTGAAAATCTGCTAACTTAGAGAAGTTGAGGAAAAACTAGCTGACCTTCCCTGTTTGCTGTCATCTCAGAAAGAGAGGCCCCTTCAATTGCTGCAAAACAAAAAGTACTGAAACTCCAAGTTCCTCTCTGTGACTTCCTGGGCATCTGTCTGTTCATTTTCCAGACTCCCTCTGCCTCTCTATGATTATTTTCTGTCAACTAGTTAATGCATTTATAAGGATAGGAAATTAAATGAATATTATATAACTTGAGATGTATTTAGGGATATATGAATGGAAAGAGTCAACATAGATTTCATAGAAACAAATACAGAAAAGTTGATCAGCAGATGAAGTCACTCTTATTTATAAAGTAAAAAGTGAGTTGTCATCTATATTTTAAAATTCCAGCCATTACCTTACTGGTTTGATGTTGAGTAAATGTAGGAGGAAATGCCAAAAATCAGTCTGTTACATTGAAGCACATATCAACAACTATAAACACAAATTATGTTCAGTATACAAAAAATATTACAAAGACTTTAAAGAAATACATATCAGAGAATTAGATGAAGGGATGAAAACCTTGAAGACTTGCCTCCTTAGAACACTCACAAATTGGATCATGTGTAGAAGATTTCTTACAAATTAATAGACTAAAATGGAATAGGATTTATAAATAAATAAATATAATAAAATGTATTTAGTCTATTAATTTGTAAGAAATTTAGTCTAGACATAGATTAAAAATGTATCTGTTCTTCACAGAGCCATGGCAACAACAAAGTGCACCACTGACGATCCTCAGCCTAGAAGACAGCAAGATCTCCAGGAGATGCTGACAGAAGTAGGGTTGTCTGTTGACTACTGGCTGCCTAAGCTGCAGGAAGACCTGGGTGTGACATGTACCCAGGCCTTACAGCACTTAGAAGAAAAAGATCTCCAGAAGCTGAAGTCCCAGACACAACACACATGGGAGCAAAAGGCTCTGGAGAAACTGCTTGACCTCTCACAGCCAAATAGTGTTGCAGAGTTCCAGAAAAATCTAGGGGAGATGATAAGGAACAGGAAGAAGCAGGCAGGACAGGCACTGCAGGAACTGAAGGCCTTCCAATCAGAAGGGAAGAACAGACAGGAAGAGGCAGTGAGGAGGAAAGAAGCAGAGCTGAGACAAGCAATGGAGATCCCTGAAGAGTGCTGGCCAGGGCCTGAAGTGCCCCTGAAAGATGTCACTGAAACAATGGAGAGACAATTAAAGGATGTGGAGCAGAAACTGACCTACAGGGGAAACCTCCCTGATAGAGACCTGGTAAGATGGGCATCTGGAGGGCTGGCCCTGCAGGGAATTTATAAGACCTGCCACCAAAAGGACCTGGTAGCAAGAAGAGAAGAACTGCTCAGGGTCCCCAAGGAATTCTTCCTCCTTGGATCTGAGCAAGGAAAAAGGATGGAAGCAAAAGAATTCATATCTTCTAAAGAAGAAACCCTGTTCACCAAAAGTGTGGAGAAGTTGGGATTTGGAGCAATGACATCAGTCATGAGTGGATGCTGGGGATTTAGTCTGGAAGGTGGTAGAGATCAAAGTAATCAGTCAGACTCGAAGGACATCAATGAATCATATTCAGAGCATTCTTATTTCTGTTCAGCCAAGTATAGCTATATGCCTCTGGTCTCCTGCCACTTTCGAATTGATCAGCTCCAGCTCTCCACTGCTGCTCTCAAGGAACTGAAAATCATTGAAGAACAACTGGAGCACACTGATGGACCAGACAGATTCGTCGTAGTGAGGAACAGGACTGAAAACTTCTTCAACAGATTTGGCTCTCATGCTAATCAAGGCCCTCTGTACCTTGGGGGAATCTACTGCTGGAAGGCCATTTCCCAGGGATTCAACAGTGACCAGCTGGATTGTGTGAAGCAGCAGACTGCAGAGGCCTTAGATAGTTACGTAAGAGGGAGCTACTTTGGCTATGGAGTTGAAGGTGGGGCAAAAAAGGCAACATCAGACTCACATTTAGTAAGATCCTGCCAAAATGCAACTAATCAACAGCTCCAAATCAAAGTCCAATTATCTGTGGCTCAGATAGGTGGACCACCAGAAGCAAATGGAATTGTTCAGTGGACAACGGGCCTTCTCACCAGCAACAAAACCTGGTCTGTCATTGAACGAGAACTTCAGCTGGTACCCATTTGGGACATCATCCTATCTAACCACAGAAGCAATTTTAAGGATCCCTTTCTGGTGGCAAAATGCCTGGCAGATAACTACTCTGCTCTGACTGGCCTTGCTGCCCACATCCAGGCTGGAGAAGAGTTGCTGAGCACCATAGAGGAAGCAGAACTTTTCCTGAATAATGTGAAATTATGGGAGGTCTCTGACCCTGAAGAACAGCTTAAGAACCTTCTGGATTTCATGCAAACATTGGCTAACAAAACAAAAGGTTATGATGTTTGGATTAATACATGCCTGACAAATTTGAATCTACAGAATTTTCTCGTGAGAACTGTCAACTTTTGCAAGTCAAACTCTTCCATTAAAAAATCTCAGTTTATTAAATCTCAGTTCTGCAGCCTTCTAGAACCTCATATCTACAAAGTGAAAAACTTTCCTCAGCTAAGTTCAATCATTCAGTGGATCTACCAGAAAGACTCCGAGGAACAGCAAGTGAAGATCACTGAATTTTCTGAATTCCTTAAAAGTTTGAAAGAAATCCAAAAATCTCTCATAGAAGTAAAGGTCAAGTCTGGGTACTCAGAAACAGTGGAAGAAGCTCACAGAAAGGCCACCTGTGAGGTCACCAGAGCTCTTGGCTCCTTCTTGAACTACCTCAGAGAAGCAGAACAGCCAGACATGCAGCTGCTGCTACTCTCCATTGCAGCTGGTGCAGGCTATCAGCTGGAAAGCAATGTTTTTCAGCCTCTTCTGGGGTGCACTGAGATAAGCTTTCTCCTGGATGAAATACAAACTGTCCAACACAGATATCAGGAGCTCAAAACCATCTGCACAGACAGGGCACAGGCATTCCTAGTGCTCAAAGCTCTGACAACCACAGTTGGAATCTCAACCATTTCTCCAGAAGAAAAAACACAGCGCTTGGCATTAACAAGGCAGCATATGAAGCCTTTGTTGTCTACAAAATTTTCACATGTTCTCACAAAATTTGAAACTGATCATGATTGGGAAAATCTAGAGAAAAGTTTGAGATTACACATTGATGGGAATTATGAAGACAACATCTCAACTTTGCAGATGGATGAGATGAGAAAACAACTGCAAAGTCTCTACCCTGAAAAGAAAGAGACTTATAACCAACAAGATAATGAAAATAACCAAAAGGAAACCATAGAAAAAGGACCTTTCTTAGACTTACTCCAACGTCTGGATCTAGAACATAACTACCTAAAAAAGATGAGCAGAGCTGACTTCCATCTAATCTATAAGACTTCAGTGTACAATACACAGCCAAAATCTGAACAGGAACTTCCCTTCTATTTCCTACAAAAGCTACTGATGTTAGATTGCGGGTTTAGATATCTAGTCTTCAAAAATCCCAGAAATGCAGAAAGCCAAGGCTCTCTAGTTCCTTGCAACCAGGAAAATGAGGCTTTTGATCCATATGAAGAGTTGTTTGATGACAGAGATGAAGTCACTAATTCTTCACCCACTGAGTCCCAGCCCCACATTCACCCAATGGACATCCAGATGGCCATTTTTCACTGTGCAGATGATCTTGCCAGACAGTATATTCTGTCCAAACTTTACATTTGTCAATTTGCACTCCCCCTTGTGGTGCCAAATCCCAACACTTCTGAGATTGAATTTTCTCTCTGGTCTCTCAGACAAATTAGGAGAAGTTGGCAAGAGGAAAATGACTCACAACAGAACAAGAGCTACAGTCACAAGAATCAGCAGATGTGCTGTGTTTCTACCCCCATTGTGTCCTTCATTAGAGTTGGAAATGGCCTCTCTGCTTCCAAATCTCAGATCATGAACTCTCTCCTCAGTAAACATAAACATGATGTGTTTTTTCACAGACACTGCAGAGGAAGCAACAATCACTGTCTCCTGATGGAGGGAGTGGTGGAGATCTTCTGGTTCTGTCCTGGGGGCCAAGGGGAGGACATATTTGACAAGTGTGTGGCCTTCACCAATCTTCATGGAGATGCCAAGGAACACAGGCAACAACTCAGCTTCCTGCAGGATGTCTCTTCTCTCATTGTGATCCTCATGTCAGCTTCTGATGACAATAAAGAAAACCAGAATCTTGTGAGACACCTCTGTCAGTCACCCAAAGCTCTGATCTGTTTGGTTGATGACAAAGAAAAGGCCATAGCCAATAATTCTGGTAAAAAGATGAGAATTGGCATCAGGAATAGAAATGAGGCAGAACTAACAGAGGAGCTCTCAAACGCCATCAAACATTTACTAGAACTCTCTGGCACTCCTCTCAGCTTAGAGGACTGTTCACAGATGGCTAAAAAACAAGGATTTCTGATTGATGAAGATAAAAGAGAAATGAGAGCAGCCAAAGAAAAGGCACAGACTATACTGGACCTCCTGAAGCTATCAAAGTTACCTGAGCTAAAAGAAAACTTGCTGCCCCTGCAGGGACAGCTGTGGCACCATTGGTGTAAGAAGGACAAGGAACTCTATCATCTGAGAGAAAAGGGGAATCGGAGCATTGAACAACACAAGAGTGAAATTGAGATAGAGAAACAAAACATACGATGCCAGCAGTTTAAAAAGGCCTTTCCTCTCAATCCTTTAATGTGCTCTGTCCTACAAATTCTCAAAGAAGATTTAGAAATTTACCCCAAACTCTATTTCTTACACTGGTTAAGTGTGGTTTTAGAAAACCTAACCTCAGGGCACTTAGAGAATTTGCATAGGAAGCAACAAACTTTGTGGTCAATGGTGCAGGAGGAAAAGCAAAAAGCACCAAAGAGCAGCTCCCTGACACTCCAGCAGATAGAATCCATCTCTACTGAGATTCTTGACTGCACTTTAGGAATTGAGCATCTTCTCCGAGAAGTTGGCCAGATCTATGAAGCTCTGGAAGAAACTTGCTCCTCTAGAGATAGACTTTTTCTCTGCCTCCCTGAACTTGCTGCAGACCTGATGGTAGCAGGTGTTTCCATTGAACTGATGGATGGGGATGCTTCCTATGTACCCCTAAAATGGGTAGCAGCAGTTTTTGACAAGATCTCAGAGAAACTTGGAGACAAAAGACTGTTCGTTCTCTCTATCCTTGGTCTGCAAAGCTCAGGGAAATCTACTTTGCTAAATGCCATGTTTGGTCTGCAGTTCACAGTCAGTGCAGGCAGGTGTACCAAGGGGGCCTACATGCAGCTCCTGAAGGTGGAAGTGACATGTTCAGAGGAACTTGGCTTTGATTTTGTGCTTGTTGTAGACACAGAAGGACTTCGGGCTCCAGAACTCAACAACAAGTCCCACAATTGGGACAATGAGTTGGCAACCTTTGTCATTGGCCTTGGAAACTTGACTCTGATCAATATTTTTGGGGAAAATCCATCAGAGATGCAGGACATCCTACAAATTGTTGTCCAGGCCTTTCTGAGAATGAAACAAGTGAAAATCTCCCCCAGTTGTCTCTTTGTCCACCAGAATGTGGGTGAAGGTACAGCAAAAGACCAAACTATGGAAGGACGAAGGCAACTGGAGCAGAGACTGGATGAAATGACAGCATTAGCTGCTGAACAGGAAGAGTGCTCCAACATAACCCGCTTCAGCGATGTAATTAAATTTGATGTCAATAGTCATGTCTACTACTTTGCTCACCTCTGGGATGGCAATCCTCCAATGGCTCCTCCCAATCCTCGCTATAGCCACAATGTCCAGGAACTGAAGAATGAGATTCTTAAGACTGCCCAGCAGGAATCTAGGGGAAGGATTTTGAAGATCTCAGATGTAAAATTCCGTGTTCAAGATTTGTGGAAAGCCCTGGTCAGTGAGCACTTCATTTTCAGTTTCAGGAACACCCAAGAGGTCATAGCCATGAGGAAACTGGAAACCATGTATAACCACTGGACCTGGGAGCTGAGGAGTCATGTTCTGGATTTACAGAATCAGCTGAACAATCAGATTCAGAATGGGAAAATCCTGACACTCACATCTGACAAACTTGAGGGTCCAGTTAATAAGAAATATGAAACCATCAAGCAAGAATTTGACAAATATTTTGAAGAAGACCCAGATAGGGAAACACTGGTTCAATGGAGAACAAATTTTGAAAATAAGCTACTAATGCTTAAAGGTGCACTTATTACAGACACCAGAAGTAAAGGCAATGAACTCATCAATCTCAAACAAAGCCAAGAAAGACTAGACAACCAAAAGTCAGAATATGAAAATGAATTGCTAGAGAAGAGCCGAAAGTTGGCTTTAAGTGTGAAGGGTAAAGAATTCAGTGATAAAGAGTTATATGAGAAATTTGATCAACTTTGGAGAAGTTGGATCTACAGTGTGTCTTCTACTGCACCTCCTGTCAAAGAGCCTAACATTGATTTAGATTCTGAAAACATCCTTTTGGATTATTTCAATAAGGAGAAAAACATTGTGGAAAGACTTAAAAAGAACTCTGGAGAGATGTTTGAAATCAATTATGCCAAACATGTCCAAGTGAAAAAATGGTATAAGGTATTTACAAAGAGCTTAGAAAGTTGTCATAAAGAATCCATTAAGAAGACTACTAATCACATTGAATTAAGATTTAATGAAACAATTAAAAACATTTTGAAGCAAAAGCGTGATTACAGTCCAAATGATTTTCATGAAATCTTGAGGATAATAGAAAATGAACTGAAATCTGTACCCCCTGAGGAAGACTACACATTTACCAGAGACTACACTATTGATTTATCCTTATGTTTATTCCAAAGAGCATCTAAGAGTTTCAGGGAAATAAACAGGGCATTCAAGAGCGCAAATGATCCTGTAAACTATCTGGAGAGAAAGAAAGATGATTTCTTCATCAATTTTAAGATCTCCTGCCAAGGTGCCACCTCCATCACATCCTTTGTTGACTTCCTGTGGCTCAAGCTCACTCCTGCTATTTATGTCACTATATGGGAGCAAATGGGCCCTAAAATAGCTGGGGACATGAGAGCCACCTGCCCTGCATTCAATGGAAACAGGGCTAACCTGGAGAAACATATTCTCATTTCTCTGGCAGAAGAAGAAAACTTTGATAAGTATTGGCAATACATTCATCAGCCAGAATCCTTCTTCAGGAATTACATTAGTGACCACATTAGAAGATACTGTTTTGAAAAAGAAGGTAAAAAAATAAAGACTTTCTTAAAAATAAGCTTAGGTGACATCAAGAATGCCATCCTCACTGCTATTCATGAGTCCACAGCTGTTGCTAAAGATAAAGGCAGCACTGCTTCTGCCTGGTTGGATTTGTTCTGTGATCACCTAGGAAACAACCTGATCTTTCCAAGAAGAGACCTGATAAGCATTGAGCATCAGGAGATAAAGGATATGGAGTTTCTCAAAGAAGCTATGAGTACAGCTTTGGATCCTGCAATGAAGAAGGTAGAAGAGGACTGCACAAGTAAGCCCATAGATGAAATGGTTCCTGACATTGAGAAAATTCTCTCTGAACATCTCTGTGGCTGCTGGAAACAGTGTCCTTTTTGTAAAGCAATTTGTACCAACACCATTCCCCAACATGAAGGAGACCACAGTGTGCCTTTCCACCGTCCTGCCGCTGTCAATGGATGGCATTGGTATAAAACAGACCACTTTCACATTGACTTCTGTACTAGTTCTGTAGCAAGTGATTGTTCATTTATTTTAAGTGATAACAAGAAATTCCCATACAAGAAATATCGAGAAGCAGGGGGTGAGTATGCCACTTGGAGCATCACCCCAGACTCATCTACCCAGCCATATTGGAAGTGGTTTGTCTATCACTTCAGAACAGAGCTCGAAGGAAGATATGGAAAAAAATTTAAAGAGTTAGGTACTATTCCAGATTCATGGACCAAAATCACAAAGCAAGAAGTACTTGATGATTTGAAAAATTGACAAAATAAATACTAACACTGCCACACAAATGTCACATTTTCCAAAGGATCTGAAAATCAACTTAAGTGGCAGCTTCAATATTGTTGCTTATAAATGAAATATATAAAATTAAACCAGTTAGTATTTCAAGACATGAAGATTTTCTACTAAAGGGATGTTTTTCTGTGAGAAGAAATAGACTGCCTGGTATATTAACCACTGTTTTTATTTTTACCTTTTTTTTTTTTTTCGAAATTGCGTGTTGCTAGCCTCTGGGTCAAGTGCTCAGAAGATTGTATAATCATTAATAATAAAAATAGATTATACTCACTTTGGTGTTAAGTCTGGGATAGTTTTTGTGTTTAATCAAAGATGATGAATATATTGGTGACTTTCTAAGAATAACCTTTGGAATCATGAGATTGCTTTGTATTGGGTAATTTCCCCTTTTCTTTCTGTTTCCCCTTGCTTATGATAATAAAAGACTGAGGTAACCAAGGCAAAAGCAGAAGCTACTTAGCAAGCTATAGCAAGAAGCTACTTAGCAACTGCAGAAGCCCAAAGTGACCTGTCAGCTTGCACGTGCACTGTCTCTGAGTCATTACTATGCCTTCCAGGTATCGTGTCCTTCGGACCCCCGAAACTGCTGAGGCTGGTCCCTGGCAAACCACTGAATTGTAAACAAGCCATTCCTCATTGTGCATTGACTCTCTTCAAAGCAATAGCATCCCTAACCAAGACAGAAGTTTGTGCCAGGGACTGGGAATATTGCTGTAATAGACCTGACCATGTTTTTGTTTGGAGTAATGGGGATTTTGGGAGTTTGGGATAAGAAAGCAGCGGAATGCTTTAAATGCTGCTTAATGGGCTATACAATAGAAGCATGGAATACAGTGGTACTGAATGTAATTTGATGAACTGTGGAGATTAAGAGATTTCAAAGGAGAAAAATGTTAGCATGTGGCCTAGAGACTGGTCTTATAATATTTTGGTGAAGAAAGTGGCTGCTTTTTACCCTTGACCCAAGAGTCTGCCTGAGGCTAAAGTGATGACTTTTGGATTAATTTCATTGGCAGAAAAAAAATCTCAAGGCAGTCTTGAGTATAGCCTTGTTCATGTGGTTACTGTTGTGGCCACATTGCGAGACCCCCAAGCAAGACCACCACAGAGCTGATATCCGATGCAAAACACACATGGGTTTATTACAAGCCTTGGCTTGATCCATGTCCAACATCTGACACAGTGGGTGGAGGAGGACAGCCCTGAGTTCTCAGGAGGAGGGGTTTTTAAAGGGAAAAAACCACAAACAGGGTGGTACAAGCCTTGGCATAATATGATTGAGTGAGGGTGTGTAACCTTTGAATTTACTGGTTAGGGGTTACAGTTATCATTTTGGGGGCAGACTAGGACAAGTCCCAGGCTTTGACCTTGAGCTACCATAGAGGCTGGCTGGCCTAGCACATACTGACTGTGGGGGCTGACTCAGTGGGCCAAGCTCTGTCCTTGAGCTGCCATGGAGGCTGGCTAACCTAGCACATTCACATTGACCCATGCACGTAGCTCTAGGTTGGTGAGGAGTCCCAGACAGTAAACGACTGGCTGAACCTTGAGCAGTCAGAGTATGAGCAGAAACAGAGCTACTTCAAGGACTGTGTCATAGCCCTCCCTGAAACTGCTTGCTCAAGTCTCAGGAAACTGAATTTGAGGCCTGATCTCTGAGAAAAGACTGAGCAGCCTGTTATGGCATCTGCTTGGTCCTTTCACTTACTAGCGTTCATGTTTATAAAGATTTATAATGAAAAGGAGCAAGCTGAGCAGGGTAATGAAGATTTTGAGGAGAAAAAGAGAAACAGGAAGTAGAATGGAGCTAAATCCTGTATTTAAGAAGATAAATGGATTAAGGAGAGTGGTGATCTCAGGGCAAGATCCCACCCAGCTGTTTCCAATTGGTGAGAAAAAGAAACTAAGGGGTCCCCACTGGATCAGGCCCTCCGAATGGGTGAGACAGTTGATTGGCTTGATCTGTTTGGGAGGCATCCAGGCAGTGGGACCAGATCTTGTGCTCATTGCATGAGTTGGCTGTTTGAAACCTGGGGCCTATGCAGGATTGTTTGGCTTGGCCGGGGAGGAGGGTACTAGACCTACCTGGACTGAGTCTACCAGGTTGACCTCAGTCTGTGGGGAAGGCTTTGCCCTGGAGGAGATGGGAATGGGGGGGGGGGCGTTGGGGGGAAGGTGAGGGGGACGGGAGGGGGGAGAACAAGGGAATCCGTGACTGATATGTAGAACTGAATTGTATTGCAAAATAAATTAAAATAAATTAAAAAAAAAAAAAAAGAAAATCTTAGAACCAAATGTGGTAGGGCATACCGTTAATCCCAGCACCGAGAAGTCAGAGGCTAGCAGATCCCTGAGTTTGAGGCCAGCCTGGTCTAGAGATCCAGTTTCAGGACATCCAACCTTAGGCAGTGAAGAAAGCTAGTGAAGATGTAATTGAACAAGCAGCAGAACTTGGCTGATTCAGCCACATGGTTCTGGCTGTAGAATTAAGGATAAAAGAAATAGGTTATGGAATTTGCCCCTGAGACTAAGGAAAGTTGCTGAAGCCAAGCATGTGTCAGAGGAGTCCCTGAATGGAGGAGGCCTAGTAGAAAGGCCATTTCGTGTAGCTGTGAAGTTGAAGCCTAGATTGACTTGGAGAACCCAAGATGTTAGAGATGCCAGAGTTGTGGTATAGTTTCCAAAGACAGCTGATAACAGGAGTGGAAACAGCTGAAGAGAAAGAAGTACATTGCAGTCAATGAAGCTGAATGGATCTGGAGAGCATTTTGACACCAGACACGAAGATACAGAGTTTGGAGATTTCCCAGCTGGTTTTCACTCTTACTTTGGTCCAGTATTTCCTCACTGTGCTACCTTCCCTGTGTTTTGTAATAATAATGTATATCCTGTGCCATTATATGTTGGAAGTATGGGATCTACTTTTTGATTTTTGAATTTGCAGGTGATTACACTTAAGCGACTGTATTAGTTTGAGAAAAGACTTTGAAATGTGGGCTTCAAAACATTGTTGAGACTGTGATATACTATGGGGACTTTTAAAGTTGGATTAAATGCATTTTTCATTATGATATTGTTACAAGCTTATGAGAGTCAGGGAGTGGAATGTGGTAGTTTGAATGTAATTGGCCCCCATAATCTCATAGGGAGTAGCACTGTTTGGAGGTATGGCTTTGTTGGAGGAATTATGTCACTGTGAGGGTTGGCTTTGAAGTTTCCTATGCTCAGGATACCACCCAGTGTTTCAGTGGAGTTTCTGTTACTGCAAGATGTGACACTCTCAGCTACTCTTGAACTACATCTGTCTGCATGCCACCATGCTCCCTGTCATGATGATAATGGACTGAACCTCTGAACTATAAGTGAGTCACCCCAATTAAATGTTTTATTATGAGATTTGCAGTAGTCATGTGCAAGGTGTCTCTTCACAGCAGTAGATATCCAAACTAAGACAAATGGCTGAACTCAATGTAACAACATTTACTGAGAATGAGGATCCCAAAGCAGAGCAAATTAAGAAGCCTTTGTTCTGGAAAAGAGTAAACCAGATTTAATCAGGAAAAGCCATATCCTGAGGAAACATTATCAAGCAAATAAAGGGAAGATGAATGAAAATCTACCTTCCTGATTTTATTACTACTCTGTTCACAACCTCTATCTTGGCATTTTTCTGTCATTATAGAAAAGAAATAATAAATCACCAAGGCTGGTATTCAAAACATAGTATTACCCAGCTACAAAACCTGCAACATACAACAGTGACCTGCCTGCAAGATATACTAGTGCAACAATGGCACAAATTTTGGAAGATTAACCAAACACTTTCTGATTGGATTTAAGACCTATTCCATAATATGGAATGCTTATTGACACTGTTAAAGTGGCCAAGAATCTAAGGTAAGATAGGCCTCAGGGTTAGGGGAAATCCTACTACCATTATTTGGCTAAATAACATGGTAATAAAATGATTACTATACCCATAGATCAGTGTCTTGCTCAATCAAAGAAGTATCTTCTTGCAGTAGATGAGAATTAACACAGAAACCCACAACTGGACAATGTGCAGAGAATGAGAGACTTTGGAGCACTCCATCCTAAATGCTATGTCTTTACAAATCCTTCTTCTTGAGCCTGAGGGAGCTATATGGAATAGGAGGCTGTGTGATGACTTTAAAAAACTCCATTTTATGCTGGCCATCCATATTGGAACTCACTAGCCATTTGTCTTGAATTCCAGTCCCTGGATTATAAATTCTTAGTAATCTCAGACTCAGTGACACACACACACACACACACACACACACACACACACACACACACACACACATAGATACACACACACAGCCAAAAATGTATAACCATGAACATTTACTTGTTATATGACTAATTTATTGCTTCTGTACTTGTTTATGCAAATGGTTAAGGATTATTTTGGGTCACCCTGACACCTTAGCAAAACTGACCAATTTTTTGCTTGCTTCAGTAGATACTGAAGATCTTCTAAATGTTTTCACCATAAGAATCCTTTCCTGACCTCTCTTCCCATGACAGTCTCAAGTTTGGCTCAGAGATTGTTGTCCTAATATCGGCTCATCAATAAAACATTTCATTTTAATTGGACTGGGTCTATGGCCTTTTCTAAGATGTCACAAACTCCATAGCATTTGGATTCCTCTGCAAGATTCCTGGGAGTCCCTAGACTCAGCATCAGGGATCTAGAATAGGCCCCAGTATACTTTGAAGTCCAGGGAGTCCAAGACCATGACTCCACAAATTAATGGTTGCTAGTAGGTGATAGGCCCCAGAGGGATCAAGTCCACCTTGTTAGGCCCTAGGGATACCATATTGTAACTACCCCAAATTTGCAAATTGAAAACAATAACAAAATTAAGAATTGCCAACAAACATGCTGAAGTTCAGACTGATCAATGACTTGTTCCCTTCTGGTTATGAGTGCAGACATTTGGAGAGATAAGTAGAAATCAGACAAGATCATCGATCCAGTCTCCAGGGCAGAGTGAATGCTCTGCTGTCCTTGTAGTATTGGTGTGTAAATGAAGGTGAACACTACATGTCTGTATTCATCTGGTCTTCCTTGATTGTGTTATTGTATTGACTTTCTACATTATTATTGTAGGGGGAAAAAGGCCAGCCAAAAAAACATATCGTGACCCTGAACCCAGAGCCAGCCAAAGAAACACACCCTGACCCTGAAACCAGAGCCAGTGAAGAAACACACTTTGGCCCTGAAACCAGAGCCAGTGAAAGAAACACACCCTGACCCCAAATCCAGAGCCACTAGGTTGAAAAGGGCCAGTGAAAGAAATATACTTTGGCCCTGAAACCAGAGGCAAAGATACACCCTCTGTCCCTGACCAATGAGAATGAAACCCACCAGTCTCTCAGCAGGAAAACCAACCAATCCCTGAGCATGAAATCCAGCCAATCTCTGAGCTTCTTCAAGCCCAGGGATTGTAATCAGACCAATTCCCAACCTGAAAAATCTTTACCCTGGAAAATCTCCACCACTAAGAAGCCCTATATAAGCCCTATGCCTGTTCGTTGGGGCTGCCCTTTTCCACCCTGGCAGAAGCAGCCACTCTCCTGGATTTCTCCTTCCCAATACATCTCTTGAATAAGTTTTGAGTGAAGACATTCTTTTGCCAGAGCAGAGCAGAGAAGCAATTGATATCTCTGCTGGGAAAATCCCTTTGTGGAGTGGAGCAGAGAAGCAACAGTCATCTCTGCTGGGAAACTCTCTTAGCAGAGTGGAGCAAAGCTGAGCTGCAAAGGCTCTCAAAGAGAGAAGGATTACCACATCCTGCAGAGAGACCTTCTCCCAACAGAACACAGCTATAGGTATAGCCTGACTTCCCCAACAGTCAGGATACCTATCTCTTCACAGATGTAGGTGTAGCCTGACTTCCTGACAGTCAGGATATCTTTCCCTCCAGAGCTGTAACACTTGCATTATCTTTTGTCTGTTGGACTTTTCAAGTTTGTTGCAGAGATGGAAGTCAGACTAAGCACAGCTGTATTGCCCCTAAGCTTCATGCCATATTTTCAGGATTTTCTAGAAGCAGATTTCTCCTGCCCGACTCCACATCAGGCAACTCTCTATGTATACCCTTCTGTTTGGAATCCTTTTCCCTCCCTCTGCTTCTCAAGAATGTATTTTTTCCTGCTTTCCCTATCTCTGACCATGAAGCTCTTGCTGCTACTCCCACCCTGCCCTGGCCTCCAGGCTGGAATGATGCAGGAGCCCCAGTGCACATCCCTTTTGAGTACCAAAAGCCCCCTGTTTCTCCTCCTGCTTCTCACTGTGCTGCTGTAGCTGACCTACACACAGAATTTCTTACTTCTAAGCCTTCTTTCCTCTCTGCTTGCTCTGGTCTCTACCTCTGATCACTGGGTTTCATTTTGTAGGGATTCAAGTGTCTTTTAGGTATAGATAATGTTGTTTTATGCTGTTCTACTTTATTAAAAGGCTGGATATGGACTTGGATTATGGCTTCCCTCTCCGAAATCAAGCATGCTTATATAAAAATTTCCTCCTTTGCCTTAGGTCCTAAACTAATCTGACTCTAGGAAAAGAGAGGGAAAAAACAGTCCAGGAAAAGTCACTGTTTTTTTTTTATTTATCCCTTATGCATTACATCTTGAACATTGTTTCCCCTCCCTCCATATCTCCCAGCCCCTCCCACCAACTCCCCACTTCCTCACATCCACTCTTCCATTACTTTCCCCTCCCCCAAAAAGCAGGCCTCCCAGGAATATCAACTGAACATAGCACAACAAATTACAAAAGACTAGTCATAAGCCCTCATATCAAGGCTGGAAAAGGCAGCCAAGAGGTAGGGAAAGGGTCTCAAGTGCAGGCAAAAGAGTCAGGGATATCCCCCACTCCCACTGTTAGGATTTCTGCCAGAACACAAAGCTACAGAACCATAACGTATATGCAGAGGAGCTAGTTCAGACCCAGGCAGAGTCTGTGTTTGTCACTTCATTCTTTGTGAGCCCCTGTGAGCCCTGCTTAGGTGAATCTATGGGCCATGTTCACTAGGTGTCCTAGACCACACTGGTGCCTACAATACTTCCTCCTCTTCTTCTGCATGGTTTCCA